ATTCCAGTAGTTTTACTATTTATCGGTAGATGTAGATAGTGGAAAGTGGGCGGGCTTTAACATCCCCTTACCCCGCAAATTGTCACGCGTTTTTAGATAGTGAAATCTAGTTACAACACCTCCTCTTTGTATTTACGATAATTTAGGGAACGACTCTGCCCGTCAACATGAATAATTTTTACTGAGCCATACTGCAGCTATATTAATGGTATAGTTGTAGCACGAATGGGTCAGCTCGACCGGGGAAGGACCACGCTCTCACAGAATAGCAGTGTAAAATAGCAGCTTAACGCTGCTGTGTTTCGTATGGTGAGTGTAGAGAACCGGAGACCCTTTTTACGGGAAACGAGGCATTCCGTCTTAGTCCTCAGGGGTTGCTACGCATCTGCATTTTGATTCTTAATCGAGGATAGATATATATATATATAGGATTATTTGTAATATATATGCATGTAGTGAAATTTTTAGTAGATGGTCAAATTTATTAAAATGTTATTAATAAATGTAATAATGTCATTGATTAACCAATAATTATAATTAAAATTTAAGGTATAGTTTAAAAAAAATTTAATTTTAATTTTGTAATGGATCTGTGTTGTCTGTATCAAATAAATTATTATTATTATGGGGTATTTGTATAGTTATTATTATTATAGACGTAAATGTCTATCGCCCACAGCAACCACTTACCATAAGGTGGACTGTGTGCTCGTTTGTCAACCTGATCCTATAAAGAAAATCTAAAAGCCAGTTATTCCATACAAAATTTCGTACAAACTTGTTCAAAATGTATGGAAGACCTAATTTTTCTTACCTTTAATTACGAAGATAGATCTATAGTAGAAGTTGTTCATATTGACGCGTAGAATAGAAATCGAAAGCACTATTTTGATTACACCATATATATAACTATTTTAAGTAATTTGTGAATATTAGTTAGACATGTAAATAAAAAAATTAAACTGTTAAAAATGAGGCCTTATCATTTATATGTCATTTATTCAGAAGAAAAACCTATATATAATATGCACAAATATATTGATACATTCGTTATTAATAAATTATTCATTTTTAAGTATTTCTGGAACACATTCACAACTATGAACTTAACTACTAAGCCATAGCATAAAATAAATTTTCCCGTTAATCGGGTAATAGTTAAGCTGCTGATATATGCAATTTTTCACGCACACTAGCATCCTTGCAAATTTTCTATACACACTACAATATTGAGTTGCTGCATTCACGGAGCTGTTACTTTCAGGTAGCGCGGTATCTAGTCAGAGCGCGCGATGACTTATCAATAATCTAAGGAAAAATTTTTCATATCAATAGGAGATGTTAATCCTTCATTGTAGTAAAAAATTGCAAGTAATGCAAAGAAAAAACAAAGATTGGGTGGAAATAAATCAACGCAACCAAACGGAAATTTATCACTTAATCCATAAATAAGGGTATTAGTGTTCTGTGATCCATAAATCAGTAATATCACTTATGCAATTATTACAATGAATGAATCAGTGACAAAACAAAATGAAAACAAACAATATGGCTGTGACGGCTTGCAATATCTATGCTTGCAATCGAGCCTAGAAAGGATGTTGAGCGGCGAGGGGGGATGTTAGCTGTCATATATCATTTTGATATATGTCAGCTAACATCCGCATTTTGATATATATCATATATCATATGACGTTTCCTATGTCCAATATTTTGTCTATGAAGATTATTGCCCGTGAACGCATGTGTGCAATTTATGTATGTAAACTGCCTTCACGATAAACGAAAAAAAATTAGTGTAAGGGGAGGGAGTAGCAGTTAAAACAACAGATAAACCATAATTATAATAAACGTTTTCTGAACGTTTTTATAGGAGATGTCTAACGAGCACACAGTCTCCTGAGAAGTGGATGCTGTGTCCGAAACCTTCTTCGTCGATTCAGAATCAAAATGTTATTGCGTAACAAACCCTGAGAACTAAGATAAAATTCCTCATTAACAGTAAAACGAGTCTTCGGCTCTCTTACGTTTCGTTCGTTCTTTATTTTAGTTCTCAGCGGCGACAACGCATTTGTGGCCTTTTTTATTTCAAGTTGGTTACAGTTGTCCATAGGCTGTAATAGCCGTGCATTGTCAGCTTGTTGGTCATTCTAATATTTTTAAATACGTATAAAAGACGACGTATAAAAGAATGAAAGAATACGCCAATATTGTCCATCCATATTTGCCAAATTATGTCTCTTGTATGGAAACTCAGAGGGCAGGAAGCGACGAATAAAGGCGTTTCCACCGCTTTATCAAAAGTGTATCGTCAATAACTAGGGCCTAATATGCTTCTATTAATTATTTTCATAATAAAATGAACAAGTGATTATAGCTTTCTACTATAAACGGTACCTAATTTTATTGATAAGTTGTAATATAAGGATGTTGTAATAAAGTAAACGATAGATTTAAATTTCATTTTTGATCAAACATACAACGCGCCGCTGTCATACTTTGCAGATCCTAACCTTCTCTAATTTATTTAACGTATTAAAACAACTGTCAGAGCAAGAAGGCTTACACGCAAATACGTTTAAACATTTACTTACCACGCATTGTTTGCTAAATTCAGACATAACCTCCGGTCAAGCATTATATTTTATTAAAGGTCACAATTGTTTATGTTTGCCTCGCCTCGACTATTCGCAAAGCATACTCTAGCCGCATTATTTTATTACGTTTAATGCATGATTTTTAGCATAAAATACAAGTATGTACTCGTACATTTAGTTTTATTTATCATTTTCTTTTGGTGAGAGTTACCAAAAAGGAAAACAATAATATTTTTATGTTGTTTAACTTAGACTTTTTATAATCTCATCATTAATATTTTGAGTCGACTTTGTATTAAATTTTGTGTGAGGACCAAGGGTATATTTATGACACATAATTTGTGTTTTTGCATAATGCCTATTGTGGTATTCTGAGCAGTCTATTTACCACGTGGTAGAGCCATGCTGCAGCTATATTAGTGGTACAGTTAGTACTACTAATATAGCTGCAGCATGGCTCTACCACATACGACAGTACGAATGGGTCGGCTCGACCGGGGAAGGACAACGCTCTCACAGAATACCAGCGTTAAATAGCAGCTTAACAGTACTGTGTTTCGTATGATGAGTGTAGAGAACCGGAGACCCTTTTTACTGGAAAAGAGGCATTCCATCTTAGTTCTCATGGGTGACAACGCATCTGCATTTTGATTCGCAAACGAGGATAGATGTAGACGTCTATGGGCCACAGCAACCACTTTCCATCAGGTGGACTGTGTGCTCGTTTGTCACCCTATCCTATAAAAAAATCTGTTCCTATTTCTTATTGTTTGTTAGTCCAAGCGTTAAAACAAAAATCGTGTTCTTATAAATGTGTCTGTCTGTAATATTAAAATAACTGCCTTTCATTGTATTTAGGGGGTTATTTGCATGCTATTAAGATATGAATAACCAATTTTTAATTATTATCTATCTGTCCATCTTAGCTTCAACTTCACGAATAGATAGAGAGTGATGCGAGCGGTGATCTAAGCTATATTTAATCCGAAAATATTTGGATAATTTTTAGTGAAATGAAAAAATTTATACACAAGTGGTCAATGATGATCCCTTTAAAAATCTAAATTGACGTCTTATTTATAGAACCGACCCAGGCGAAGACTAGGCGGGTCACTAATTTCTTTATAAATGATCACATTTTAAACAGGAAAAGCAAAAAGATTGAAATATAAAATTTGAATTAGCTTTAATTAGAATTTGTTAATTACGATTGCGGCACGTGGCGTGAACAAACGTTTCCGTATGGAGATATTAATTTGATTGAACCAGCTCGGCTAACTAAGCTGTTCTGATTGCCATCCATTGAAATAAATTTCATTTGTTAGCTGACATAATGACGTAAATAAGATTGAAATAAAATTTTAAATAGTGTATTTTATGTCGTCACTTGATATTAGATTTGAGCAGATCTCCATCCAGATCCTGGGAATTTCATGTAACACCGCCATTTTAGGAAATGGCCAATTGTCTAGCGGTCACTTTATGAAGTATTTAAAGATTTAAAAAAAATACATAAGTATCGTCATCGTCGTCGTAATCCTCCTCGTTATCTTCATTATCATTGTCAGTTACACACACGCACACACACACGCACACGCATCCCCACACACACGCACACGAACTCGCGCACACACACACACACACACACACGCACACACATACACACACACACACACACACACAAACACACACGCGCACACACAAATACACAAATGTGCATGCACACTCACGCGCATACGCACAAGCACATTCGATAAGATAAAGAACCAGACTTGAACAAAAATATTTTTTTTTATTACGACAGAGTTACAGTAAGAAGATTATTACTGCAATATTCAATATTAACTGATTACAATTGTCTATTTATACTTAAGTTATATGCAGCAAAACTATTTACTAAGCTTATTTACTGCATATGCTTGACACAGATGTGATGGCTGATGATGTGCGAACGAATGAGATTTGGCAGGGGTGCTCAGCCTTTACTCACGCTAACGTGCAAGCGCATGCGCACACATACACGCACACACACATACACGCACGCACACACGCACAAGCACACTCACGCGCACCCACAAGCGCACGCGCACGAATAAAGATAACGAACCAGACTTCAACAAAAAATATATTTATTTATTTCGACCGAGTTACAGTAAGAAGATTATTACTACAATATTCAATATTAACTGATTACAATTGTCTATTTATCCTTCAGTTATATGCAACAAAACTATTTACTAAGCTTATTTACTGCATACGCTTGACCCAGATGGGATTGCTGATGATGCGCGAACGAATGATATTTGGCAGGGGTGCTTAGCCTTTACTCCTCCCCCCTCAAGAGAGAAATTATCCGAAGGTGGTTCAAGCGACTTCGGAGAATTTCGAGAGTATAATTTGAATTTAATTAAAATGATACATACGAGTATTATACAGATTACTATAATGAGATATAAACTTATGGTCCTTACACTGATTTCACTTGTTACTGAGAATTTTGTAATCAAAGAAAAAAAATTTAAATGCAAAAATGTTTATTTACAGCTAAGGTGGTACAGATTATAATATACAATATAAGATAATAAAATGGAAGTACAGAAGTCTTAATTCTCTAGTATACAATTATAAAATGATCTTATTACACCAACTAAGCTGGAGTGTATAAACTAGGGTGTATAGTTCTGTGATCCTCACACTAGGCATGCCTGTGTCGTGAGGGCCTGATACGATTTTCTTATCACACGTGGCTTTCACTAATTGACATTGGGTCGAGGTACGGCTATTACATTATGTAAGCTTTTTGTTTTTCAAATAAATATAATACAATACAAACACTCACGCCTGTCACCCACAGGTAGGCAGAGACTACGGACTTCCATTTGGCACGATCCTGACACACCTCTCTCGCCTCCTTTACATCCATATGTTTATGCATACACACTCGTCGGTTAAAGGTACTCCTAATCTGGCTTATTTTCAATGTATCGCCGATTTGGTCGATAAATCTTCGTCTAGGTCGTCCCTTCCCGACTTTGCCGTTCATTTCTGAAACATAAATTTGCTTTGTCACTCTTTCCTCGTTCATTCTTTCTACGTGACCAAACCACTGAAGCATTCCTTTTTTAATCCTAGTCACAACATCATCATGCAAACCACACTTTTCTCTTATCACACTATTTCTTACCCTGTCATTCAGATTCAGCCCTAGCATACACCTTAAGGACCGCATTTCTACAGCATTTATACTACTCTCATGCTTCTTCTGCCAGACCTAACTTTCACTACCATACAATAAGTAGGGACTAACACAGCATTATGAGTTGCCATACGTGCCTTCTTTGACACATTCTGACTCTTCACAATAGCGTGTAGAGTCCCATTCACTCTATTTCCTGCGTTCACTCGTCGTTCTATATCCTTATCATATCTACCATCCCTGCTAAATAAACATCCCAAATATACAAACTCATCCACTTGCTCAATCAACTCCCCTTCTATTCTTATTTCACATAACATTTTACTTTCTTCTCTTTCAAAAACCATCACTTTCGTCTTACTTGCGTTCACTTTCATACCGCTTTCTTTTAATGACCAGTTCATTAAAGTAACTATCATTTGCAACGTGGCCGCCGACGATGCAAATATGACTTGATCATTGGCGTACAAAAGGCATTTGATGGTTAATTCACCCATTCTCAACCCACATTCTTCAACTTCCAAAGTTTGCAAACAACTGTCCATAAATAGGTTAAACAGCCATGGAGAAGCTACACAGTCCTGTCTGACACCTTTATGAATGCCAAACCAGTCCGAGTAGGCCCCGTTGATCCTGACACAAGCACTAGAGTCCCTATAAAGTGACTTTAATGCCTGTATCAGACCAGCGCTCAACCCAAATGAGGTGAGTGTTTGCCATAACACGTTCGTGTTTACTCTGTCATAAGCTTTTTCCAAGTCCATGAACACACAAAAAACTTTCTGGTTTTTGGCCAAAAATTTCTCCGCAATCATGCGCATGGAAAAGACTTGATCCGTACACCCCATCCCCTTTTTTAATCCAGCTTGCACATCCCAAATTTTTCCATCAGTTTCTTCCATAACTCTTTCAATTAACACCTTAGCATACAGTTTACCCACAATGCTAAGCAAGCTGATACCACGGTAGTTTTTATAGTCCTGCTGCGACCCCTTTCCCTTATATATTGGGACTATAACGGCCTTGAACCAGTCTTTCGGTACCCGCTTCAGTTCCCAACATAAATTAAACAAGGTGTACAGCAGGCCTGCAACCACACCCTCTCCAGCCCTTAGCATTTCGAGTGATACTCTACCATATCCGGCTGCCTTACCTGTTTTCATGCTTTTCATTGCTTTCATTATTTCATCTACACTTATCTCCCTACCTCTCTCCATTTCTTCCGGAAATTCTTTAAAATTCTTCCATTTCTTTATTTACTTCGAACGACTCTTCACTCTTAAATACGCTTTCAAAGTATTCCTTCCATCTATTTAAATTCGAAACTTCATCATTCAGCATGCAGCCATTCTCGTCTCGTATAGCATTCATTCTAGGCTGTTTTGAATTTCCCCTGGCAGTTCTTACGAGTTTCCAGAACATTTTAACATTTGCCTGGAAGTTATCAGATATTCTTCTATCATTCTTATCTATCCTTTCTTGCTTTTTCCTTTCAACAACTTCTTTTACTCTCTTATTTATACGTCCAAAGTCTGCCTTTTTTCTTTCAATCTCATCATTCACACCGCCAGAATTACCAGGTTTGGTTGCTAGTAAATCTAGCCATGCTCTCTTCTTTGCTTCAACTTCCATCCGTACTTCATTATCCCACCACAACGTATTTCTTTTCCTTTCATTCGTTCTCTTATTTACACCATAAATTTCGGTGGCTGTATCCACCAAAACTTTCTTAACATTATTCCATACATTCTTCAAGTCTAAATCATTCATACATAATTCATTCAACACGCTTATATTTTCCCTCAGTCTACATTTATACTTTTCTTTTACACCTTCATCTTGTAACCTCTCTATTCTTATACGCTGTAACGCAGTGGTAGACACAGATATCCGATACCGCCAACGCTTGAATAGACCCTTAATTCGGCATAAGGCCAAGTAATGATCCGTCCCTACGTTGGACCCACGGTAAACCCTTGTATGTACCATTGCGCTACTCATTCTTTCATCCACTATTATGAAATCTATCATGCTTCTATCATCCCCTCTTTCCCAAGTATACATGTGAATCCTTTTATGGCGAAAGAAAGTGTTCGCCAAAAAAGATTCTTTTCCACACATACGGTGATGAGGTCTTCACCATTCTCATTTATTCTTTCATCGCCAAACGTTCCTAATATCCTTTCATAACCAGACCTCTTCACCCCAACCCTTCCATTAAAATCTCCTAACATAATAATATTTTCATTTCATATTTACATTTCGACAACACCAGCCTTACCATGTCCCATAACTGCTCTTGGATATAAGTGGGCTTAGACATATCTGGGGCGTACACCCCAAGTACGAACAACTTCTTTAAGCCCACTTTGATTCGTATCCACAGCAGCCTTGGGCTTACACATTCACACTCTTTCACTCATTGATCCATTCTTTCTGAAAGGATGACACCGACTCCCTGGCATGCCCGCCCGGTCTCGTCTACACCAGACGAATAAGCGGTATACATGCCATGTGCAGTAACATATCTTGCCTTTCGTTTCGTCTCGTGCACACAAAACACTTTTATTCCTCTATCATTCATCATTTCGCATATTTCATCCATCTTATCATTCATTGCTCCACATATATTCAGCGTAGCCAGACGGGCCTTCGCAATCCACTTTTCGCCACTTTGGGAGACAGGACGTGACGGGTGGCGAAACTCGTCGCCGGTTTTCCTCCCGGAGATTCTTCGCACCCCTGCCCCATTAAAAGGGCGCCGGGAACTCGGGGCCATTTCTTTTAAATGTTGGCTCATGGTGCGACCTAAAGGGTGGTAGATTTTACTCCGCTACCAACGGCGAGGAGCCGAGTCTATCGTCTCTGTCTTGTCGCTCGTTTAGCACCACCCGGGGGACAGGGTGGTCCTAGGGTTAGGTGGTCGAAGCCTACGGACGCGAGCGACTCATCCCGCCGGCTTTTTAAATAAAATAAAATATAAAATAAAATAAAAGTTAATATGTATAAAAACAAATAATTAGAGGTAAAACAATTAATTGTTAGTAAAGAAAGTACTGTTATATCATAAATATTACAATAATTAATAAAACATATATAAATTAGAAACTCCTATAGATACATATGGATATTATATACTGTATTCATATATTTTATTTACGTAAATTTATGATAAAGATTACGGTTTAATTAGGTTTTCTGTACTATCGTAGCTCAGAGTAAGTAACCATTTTGTTATGGTTCTTTTAGCTTCCACCACTGACTTTTCTTTTATATCGCAATACTTAAGGACGGAATTGTACGAGTACACTTGAGTTCTACGAATTGCCCAAAACGATTAGAAAAAGCAGAGTTAATAGCGGGAGTTGGCAAGCGGAATACTCTTTGTTTCAACAATGTCTTATACTCTGGAGATGCCAGAGTACACTTATGAACAGTTAGGGAGGTCTTCAGTATGAAAAGTTGTCTTACATTTAATAGTCCACTGTCCTTATATAAATCAAAAGTTGAATATCTATACGGCTTTTTTAACATTACTTTTATAACTGAACGTTGCGCTCTCTCATCTCTGATCAGGAAAGTTTTTGCTGCACTTCCCCAGCAAGTAATACAGTAAGTTATAAGAGACTGGCATAAAGCAAAATACACAGATCTTGAGTATTTAAGCCTGTTATGTCCCGCGGATGCTTTAAAACACCAAAAACCTTCCTGACTCGAGCCGAAAGAGCTATTATATGATTTTCAAATGTCAGTTTATCATCAACGAGGACACCAAGATATTTAATTACATCGGATCTACTCAAGGTCTCACAGGTACACGGTTTGCTTGTGCAAGAAGGCTCATGAATCTTAACCACTGTTTGTTGTACTTGCGCAGTGACTGCTGTCTTATGAAAGCATAGGTACACAGTCTTCTTGGTATTTAGGGTCAAGAGATTATTTTGTAGCCAACTAAAGACCTGTTTTAGACCTCTTTCAGTACTGTACAAAGCATCGTTCTACGTTGAGCCATGAAATACGATAGCAGTGTCATCGGCGTAACGTATAGTTTCGGCGTTTTTCATGGGTAGGTCATGTATATCATTGATATAGACAGTGAATAACGTAAGACCAAGTATGCTGCCCTGCGGTAATGCAAAATTAGACACAAGAGAGAACGATGAGCAAAACGTAGGGAAACTCGGAATAGGGCAACGGAACTCAAGGGGCCAGCAGCTGGCCGACTTCATGGAGAATGAGGGACTCTTTATGATAAACTCTTTCTTCCAGAAGCGGC